GAAGGTGATGGTATGGACTTTGTTCAGGAGATCTTCATGTATTATTCACATGTTTCCTAGACTTGATGCATACCCAGTCCATTAATTATAATCATTTAATTATATTCATTTTATTATATTTCCACCAGAGAGTGTTACTGCTTTCCTAAGCTTCCCAAATTCGAAGCCTAAATCCAAACTGAGACAGATTGCATTTTTAAAACATGATCATTCATTGATAATTTTATTTTCAAAAATTTATTTCATTCATTTTAATGAACCTTTACAGAGATGTTGGATTTCCATTCATTCACTGTTGCACTTTTCTCTCTGTCCACCCATCCCCCAGTCCAATTCGCTCTTCTTTTGGAAAAGTAAAAGAGAAATTCCTTCATTGGTATACCATCCCCCCTCCCGCCCCGCCTTGCCCCGATGTTTTATAGCATGTGTGGCTTTTGATTGGTGTCATCCATGATAGATAGATAGATAGATAGATAGATAGATAGATAGATAGATAGAGGATAGATATTACGTAGGAACATCAAGGATCGGTAGGGAACATCAACAATCAGTAGGCAAGGTGACAGACAACTGATAAAAAGATGCAAGAAAGATAGGGAGGAGATTGAATGGGTGGATTGTGGGTGGACGGATGGATGATGGATGGATGGATGGATGGATGGATGGATGGATGGATCGATGATGGATGGATGAACTGATTGTTGTGTACCACGGAGTCAAAGCCCACTCCCAGCTGACCATCCCGGGGGGGGATTCTCATGAGAGGACACTGCCCATCTTTCTCCCACAGAGTAGCTTGTGGATAGGGGATTCAGCTGTGAATCGAGTGTAAAGAACCCCTAAGAAGTGCAGGATGGTACAAGGTGACCCAATACCCACTCTCACCCTGTGGCTTTTCAAGAAACTGTGAGCACAGTCTCAAAGGCAGAGTGTCCAGTGTTGTGGGGGCACTGGCCTGTACATGGGCACTGAAAGCATTTCTTCCTCTCCCCTCAGGAAGAAAACAGATCTTACTGCACCTTTACCCTCATCTCCCAGTGCCAGGTGTTCAACTACACAATCCACGGGACCGGGGCGCACCCATTCTCGACGTGGATCCAGTACCCAGACATAGGTGAGGAGGGCACGCCCTCATTTCTGGCCGTGGGTACTGTGGCCTCCTGAGTGCTGCTGACAGTGGCCGCAGAGCGATGGGGGATGGAGTTGCATCCTGCCTGTGGCCTGTGGTCCATCCTGACTCCTGGACACCCTGCAGGGCCTTCCTAGCCAGGCTTTTGATGAGCGGAGCCCCAGTGGGGCAGCGATTAGGAGCTTGGCTACTCCACAGAAGGCCAGGGGTTCACACACCGAGGGAGAAAGCGGAGGCCGTCTGCTTCTGGGAATATTCACAGCCTCAGAGACCCGACGGGGCAGCTCTGCTCTGTCCTGCAGCGTCACTGGGAGTCAAAATTTACTAAATAGTCCTGAATTTGTAATAGAAAGACACTCTGCGTTATGTCTGTCTACCTAGCTGTCTGCATAGCTGTAAGTCTGTCTGTCTACCTGTCTGTCAGTATATCTCTAAGTCTATCTACCTCTCTATCTGTCTGTATATCCATAAGTCTATCTATCTACCTGTCTGTTTGTATATCAGTGAGTCTGTCTACCTGTCTGTCTGTACATCTGTAAGTCTATTTGTCTGTCTACCTACCAGTCTGTCTGTATATCTGTGAGTCTGTCTACCTGTCTGTCTGTACATCTGTAAGTCTATTTGTCTGTCTACCTACCAGTCTGTCCGTATATCTGTGAGTCTGTCTACCTGTCTGTCTGTCTGTATATCTGTGAGTCTGTCTACCTGTCTGTCTGTATATCTGTAAGTCTATTAGTCTGTCTACCTGTCTGTCTGTATATCTGTAAGTCTATCTGTCTACCTCCCTTTCTGTCTGACTGTATAACTGAGTCTGTCTACCTGTCTGCCTGTATATCTGTCTACCTGTCTGTCTGCCTATGTGTAAGTCTATCTGTCTACCTGTCTGTATATCTGAAAGTCTATTTATCTGCCTACCTGTCTGTCTGTCTGTATATCTGTAAGTCTACCTCCCTGTCTGTCTATATATCTGTAAGTCTGTCTACTTGACCATCTGTTGACCTACCCACCAGTGTATTTATGCATTTCTTTATTTAGATCTCTGTGTATTTGTCGACCTCCCTGTCTACCTGTCTCTGTCTCTCCATCTGTCTATCTGTAAAGATGTCCCATCTCCGCCCACTGGGTTCACGGGCTCCGACAACCGGCTGGAGGGTCAGCTGGACGAGCAGTGGAGAAACTGATTCTCACGGCCGCAGAGTCAGATCTGACCCCTCGCTGACCCTCAGGCTAGCTGACCCTCCGGCTAGCTGACCCTCCAACGGGTGTCGGAGGCCGTGTCCCGCCCCGGGAAGAGAGATGGCCCGCCTTTCTCCCCCAGAGCAGCTGGGGGGCTCAGACACCCAGAGAGGCAGTGTCTTGGGGGTCTAACACGAGCGTCCTGCAAACACGACCATCTGTGCGCCTTCCAGACAAGATCTGTCCAGTAGGGAGCCTCGCCGTAGTTAAGTGCTCAGCTAGCACCTAAAAGGTGGGGCGTTCAAATCCCCCAGCGGCTCCGAGGCAGGAGGATGAGGCCCTCTGCCCCCCCCCCCGGAAAGCTGACAGGGTGGGACCCCCTCTGAGGGGGCTTCTGCGCCGTCCACGAGGGTCTCCGTGACTCGGCACCGGTTGTGTGCAGCCAGAGGGTTGGGGTCGGGTTTTAGGGGTCTGGAAGGTGGAGAGGCCCCCCCGATAATGAGACTGTTGTCCCAGATGAGAAGATGAGGGGGGCGGAAGCCACGAACCTGAGCTGTCAGATCCGCGACACGCACATCCTGGAATGCAGCTGGGCCGTGGGCAGCGCTGCCCCTTCGGATGTCCAGTACGAGCTGTACTTCGAGCATGTGTCCTCGGGGTGGCATGTGGCCAGTGGGGCCCCTCAGAGGTACAGTGCCACTGCTGGACAGTCTGGGGGCCCTGGAGGAGGTGGGCAGGGGCTGGACCATGGCCAATGCTGTTCACCACTTATTCAGTACTGGCCTTACTTCCCGAAGCCCTGGAGGAGGTGGTCAGGGACTGGAGCGGGGAGCAGTGAGGCCCAGCAGATATCTGGTGCTGCCGTCGGACCTTATGGGGGCCCTGGAGGAGGAGATCAGGGGCCAGATGTTTACCGATGCTGTCCACCACTCGTCCGGTAGCTGCCGTACTTCCCGAGGCCCTAGTGGAGGTGGTCAGGGAGGCTGGACGGTGGGCAGTGCTGTCCACCACTCATCCAGTACCAGCCATACTTCCTGAGGGCCTGGTGGAGGTGGTCAGGGGCTGGGTGGTGGGCAGTGCTGTCCACCACTTGTCCAGTACTAGCCATACTTCCTGAGGCCCTGGTGGAGGTGGTCAGGGGCTGGACACTGGGCAGTGCTGTCCACCACTCGTCCAGCACCTGCTGTACTTCTCAAGGCCCCAGAGGATGCACTAAGGCTCAGGGTGTGGCCAGTGTCATTCCTCTGATGTCCAGCTGGGAGTGGCCCGGACTTGGTCTTGAGTGACCAGTCCCACCCACTGAGGTCAGCTCCCTACCCCCCAACCCCATTTGGCTGTGGCCTGGGCCTGACTGTAGACAGTCGTATCCCCGAGGGCAGGCCCTCCAGGTGGGTGTGGCCTAGTGCTGGGCTGCCCACTGGACAGCTCTGCCCGCTGACGTCAGGCTCGAGGTGCAAGTGGCCAGTGCTGCTCTGTAACTGGTCAGCTGCACCCCATGGAGAGGCCATGCCCATTTGTGCAAGCCATGCCCTCCAGGTGGGTGTGACCTAGACTGGGCAGTGATTGGGCAGCTCTGTCCTCTGACCTCACCTCATCCAGGTGAGTGGGGGGGGGGGTTTAGGTGTGAGAATCCCCTGACCCTGGCATCAGGCCCACCACCAGGTGGGTGCGCTCTGGTGCTGGACACCCAGTGCCCCGGCCCCTGGCCCCAAGACTGTCCCCTGGACTCTGGTTGCAGGACTTCCCCGAAGTGGACATGTGAGCACTACACAGTGGACACGCGGGGCACCCGCACTGGCTGTCGGTTCCCGGACGTGTCTGGACTGGGTGATGATGCCTACCAGTTCGTGGTGACCGGGACCAGCCAGGCCGGCCATGTGCCCTGCATGGAGAAGGTCTTCTTCCCCTCAGAAATCGGTGAGCCAGGACCCCTCACGTAGGAGCCGCTGGATGGGCAATGAGGGTGGTTACCAGCAGGTCAGGGGTTCAAAGCCACCCTCAGAAACCCTATGGGGCAGCTCTGCTCTGTCCTGCAGGGTCCCCGGAAGGCAGAATCCAGTGGGCAGCAGTGGGTTTGATTATGGCCTTACATGCATCCTCAGAGGGAAAAAGAAATGCTTCCTTTTCCTTCTAAGAGTGACTGACTCTGTGTGTGTGTGTGTGTGTGTGTGTGTCCCACCCCTCCCGCCCCGCAGAGATCCTGTCCGGTCCAAACTTGACCGGAAGCTGCAATCAATCGTACGCCTTGTTGACGTGGACACAGCACAGTCACTTCACCTATGGTTTCGACTACGAGCTGGAGATCAAGAAGGTGAGACATCTCCCCACCCCACCCCCAGCTCCCCTCTCCCCCATCACAGCTGAACCAAGAGCCGTGGTGGCCAACATCGTCTTCAACTTGGCTCTTGGGAAGATGTTTTTGTTTTGTTTTTCATGGTAAAAAGCTCAGGAAAGGTTCATCCACAGGTAGAAATCGGTTCTGAACAGGTGGAGTTGTTGTTAGGTGCTGTGGACGTGAGGGCGTCTGTCCTGAAATTGAAACTATTGCTGGGGAGTAAAGCTAGACATAATAATAATAACGAATAATAACAATTAATAATATAATCAGGCCACAGAATGAAAACAGGCACAGATCATGTGCAGATGAACGACCCCCAGCTGGCCGAGTGGGTAAGGAATTGGGGCTGCAGCCCCCAAGGTGCACGGTTCAAATGCACCAGGTGTTCTACATGAGATATAAGAGCTGTTTCCTCCCGTTGAGACTGGCCGCCTCGGAAAGCCCGCTGCATGGTCAGCCGTGGGTCCGTCTTGACTTGACAAGACACAGTCGTGTATCTAAATGATATGTCTGTTTTTAAAAAAAATAAGAAAACTCCCTGTTATCTGGTCACTTCTGGCCCCCAGAGGCCCCAAAGGGCAGGGCAGAGCTGTACCATGGGGTTTGCAACCTTCACAGAAGCAGAGGCCCTCAGCTGGCTCCCCCCGGAGCGGCGGCTGGTTTTGAACCACCAAGGTTTGCATTAGCAACTGACACAGGGGGGATGTGGGATGGAGGGGATGATTGGAGACTCAGCGTCTTGTCTCTCCTACAGGACTCAGACGGCAGCAGGCCCAAAATGGTGAGTGTCCCCTCCAGCCCCGTGGGCAGTAGCGTCCACCCCTACCCCCTACTCTGGCCTGCTGCCAACCGGCGGGTCCTGACCCCTTGCTCGTCAGGTCCCGGTGCATGACAGATCCTCTTCTCATGAACTGATAAACTACGGGCCGTTCACAGCGAAGGTCCGGGCGAGGAACAGCCTGGGCCCCGACGGGGCCAGCTGGGGGGACTGGAGCCAGCCTTTCGGTCAGTGTTGCCCCCCACCCGCCCCTTGTCTCCATCCCAGGGGCCCCATCCAGAGACACAGCTGCTTCCCGTAGCTTCCCTAACATATTCCCGGGTCCCAACGTTTTCCTGGGGTCCCCCCTCATTCCTGGGGTCCCCCCTAAGCTCACAAAACCACAGGGCAGTCCCCTGACCCTGCCTGAGGTCCCGAAGCCGCTCACACCAGAAGCCCACCCGTGGGGCACGTGTAGAAGGGAAGTCCCCTCTCCAGGCATTTGTCACTGGAGGTCTGCGGGCAGTTCCAGAAATGGGGCAGGGTGCTTCCCTGCTGGGGGACCTCCCAACCCACCCCAGGAGCCCACCCAGGCCCCCCGGATTCACACGAAGTGCAACCCAGGCCTCTCCAGAAACCCAGGCCCAGAAGACACCCACCTAGACCTCCCCAGGGGCTGCTCTGATCCCATCCACCCAGGACCCTCCTCAGATCTCACCCACCCAGGACCCCAGCCCCAAAAAGGACTCCCCCAGGCCCTCCCCAGATCTCACCCAGGACTCCAGCCCCATCAGGGACCCCCCCCAGACCCTCCCCAGTTTTTACCCACCCAGGACCTCAGCCGCTCAGGGACCCCCCCAGACCCTCCTCAGATCTCACCCACCCGGGACTCCAGCCCCATCAGGGACCGCCCCAAGCTGTCCCCATATCCCACCCGCCCAGGACGCCAGCCCCATCAGGGACCGCCCCAAGCTGTCCCCATATCCCACCCGCCCAGGACGCCAGGAGCATCAGGGACCCCCCCCAGACCCTCCCCAGATCTCACCCATCCGGGACCCCAGCCCCGTCAGGGAATTCCCCCCAAGCCCTCCTCAGATCTCAACCACCCAGGACCCCAGCCCCCCTCAGGGATCCTGCTAGACCTCTCCAGTACACACCTGTCGACCCCCCATGGTCTCCAGGACCCCTGGCCCCTAGCACACCCTCTCAGATCCCTCCAAGCCCCCCAGTCCTCCCCCAGCCCTCTCCCAGGACCTCCAGGTTCCTAGCCGACCCCTGGCCATCAGGCTGGTCCCAGCTCCTAGTCCCCCCAATCTCCCCTCAACAGACCCCTTCAGTCCCCAGGGCACCCTCCACCCCCACCACGCCCCTGGGGATCCCAGCTGTGCTGGTGAAGCCCCCTCCCCCCACTGCCTGGAGGCCCTGGACACCCGCTGGGAGTCCTGGACCAGCCCCTCGGGCGCTGTCCCTGCAGAGTGTAAGGAGGACAAGGACGGCCGCGTGGAGGCCTGGCAGGTGGCCGTGTGCGTCGCGCTGGGCACGCTGCTCACTGTCCTGATGGTCATGCTGCTCTGCAGGAGGTGAGGGCCGGACCCCTGGGGCTGGGGCACATGCCCCTGGTGGGTGAGGCCAGGTCTGCCTATCCCTGCCTGCAAGCAGCCCCCTGGCCATCCTTCCCCCAGGACACTAGCGTATGAAGCACTTGTGAACAAGGCTGGTGCAGGCAGGCGCACCCTAGTCCTTGCGGTGAACACCGTCACTTCCTCCCTCGCAGGTTCTCGGTGATGCAGAGGCTGTTTCCTCCCATCCCGAAGATGAAGGATCCGCTCCGGGACTTAGCCCACATGGACAGGCTGGTGGGTGTCTGCCTCTGCCCTGTCCCCCTCATGGGGGTGTTTCTGGGGTCAGGGAGGCTGGAGGCAGGGTCTGACCAGGGCTCACCCAGGACACTGTGTCAGGCAGCGACACACACACCCCCCACCCCGGGGCTGGAGGAGTTCGGGGCATCAGGAACACGCAGCAGAAGCCAACACCCCGAAGTCGCAGACAACCCCCACCCCAGCCCACCTCCCTCACTCCCCGCAGATCACCTGGGATGTGCACAAGGCGATCCGGGAGGACTGCCTGGTGGAGAAGGTGCAGGCGGTAGATGAAAAGTGAGGCAGGCGCAGCGTGGTGGGAATGCCACGTGGGCCACCTGGAAACTGGAGCTGTGACCGGAGGGCTGTGTCCCACAGCCCTCACTGACCACCCAACTTCACCTCCCTGCCCACCTCTCACCTCACTGTCCACCCCTCAGCTCACTGTTCTCACCTCACTGCCCACCTATTCTCACCCCACTGTCCATCCATCCTCACCTCACTGCCCACCTATCCTCACGTCTACGGCGGACACCTGTCCAGGAAGCCCTGTTTTTCCCCAGCACGCCCTGAGGTCGTGTCGTCGTAGCTCCAGCCGCGACCTCTCCGACAAGGCCCCCTCTGCACCTCATTCTCTTGCCAGAATAAGCTCCGTGGGCAGCGTCCCCTTCAAGATGACCTCTGTGCACCAACTGCCCGTGGAGGGCGACCTCTGTGTGCAACCTGTGTGTGCAACCTCTGTGTAGAGCGCACTCTCTGCCCTGTTTTCTCTTCATAATAAGCTCTGTGCACAAGCTCTCTTGTGCCAGAAATGTGTCTCTCTAGATTGTTGTTCCCAATCAATTGTATTTTTGTAAAAATAAACCCAACAGGGGGTAAAAATGAAGATCCCAGGCGGCGGCCCTGCGTGGAGTTTGCTGGTGTTATTTCTTAAAGCCTCTCGCATGTCCCGGACATTGAACGTCCTTGGGCTCTTTCTCACGAGGCTGGTGTTCGATGCCGTTGGGTTGACAGCTCACAGCAATCCTCTGGCCAGCTCTTGAGCCTGTCCTGTCCAGTGTGTGGACAGCTGGGCTGATGGAGTCTGCAGCAAGGGGCTCAGGGAACAGGGAGGAGAAGGTGGGACCTGGAGAGGGTGCCCTGCTGCTGCCCGTGGACATGATGGGTGCATCTCAGCTTCACACATGCTCAAAGTCAGGTTGCCTGGGCACGAACTGGACGGGTCACTCTCAGATTTGTAAGCCTGCTATAAGATCTTTATTTTCATATATATATAATTTTTCACATATATATATGTATCTCAACAATCTGCATTATGCAGATACAACCCTGCTCACTGAAACTGAGGAGGACCTCATGCACTTACTGCAGAGGGTCAAGGACTGCAGCCTTCAATATGGACTGAGGCTCAATGTCAAGAAGACAAAAATTCTCACCACTGGACCAATCGGTAGCATCAGGATGGATGGCGAAGAGATTGAGATTGTTTACAGCTTCAGTTTGCTCGGCTCCACGGTCAACACTCTTGGCACCAGCAGCCAGGAAATCAAAAAACGTTTATCGCGATGGGAAAGTCTGCGGTTAGGGACCTCTCTAAAGTACTCAGGAGCAACGGTGTCTCTCTGGAGACTAAGGTGCGCCGGATACAAGCCATGGTTTTTGCAAGCACTTGTTATGCATCAGAGAGTTGGACAATGACTAGGGAGGATAGGAGAATTGATGCCTTTGAGCTGTGGTGCTGGAGAAGAGTACTGAATGTACCATGGACTGCCAAGAAAACAGATTCATCCTGGAGAGGGTTAAACCAGGCTGCTCCTTGGAAGCAAGGATTCTGGGGCTTCGCCTGACATACTTTGGACATGTTGTAAGGAGGGACAGGTCCTTGGAGAGGGACATCATGCTGGGCAAAGTGGAGGGACAGCGCAGGAGGGGAAGGCCCTCTATGAGGTGGATTGATTCAGTGACTGGGGTAATCGGGATGGGTGTGTCAGAGGCAATGCGATTGGCACAGGACAGAGCAGGGTTTAGGGCTCTTGTACATAGGGTCACTATGAGTCGCAAACGACTCAACGGCACATAACAACAACATATATACATATACAAATATATACACACACACACACACACACTATATATATATATTTCCTCCTCCACAACTAGGCTCTATTCCTGTGAATCCTTTCAATATCCAGTGGTGGCTGTTACTCTATTCACGGTACGTGACGGTGAGTCACCTGTAACTCATAGGGACCCTATGTCCATCACCTCTGACCCCGGCCCTGTCCTGAGGCCCGTCTCACGGTCACACCTGCCTCCCCGACCCCAGTGACTGAGCTAATCCCCCTCATCAAGGGTCTTCCTCTCCTGGGCTGTCCCTCCACTCTCCCAAGCATGACATCCCTCTCCAAGGACTGGTCCCTCCTGGGCCACATGGCCCAGAGTGAAATCCAGGGAGCTTCAGAATCCTTGCCTCTAAGGATGTTGCACTTGACAGCCTCTGCGAACTGGCTGGACGGCCTGAGTCCACTTCCACTGGTGGTTACATAAAAATTACGTAATTAAGTATCTGTGGATGAGGGCAATTTCTTCTCGTGTGATTGGACAGGCTCTGAAAACCCACTCAATGGTCACCTAGGAGCTGGTTTCCACTTGACGGTACATAACGTATGTGCATTATTTGTAATATGCATAGATATGTGAAAAGATTGACAGCCTCGTAGACGCCATGGGGCAGCTCTGTCCGGCAGGGAGTCAGTTATCAGTACAGAAACAGACATTTGGCTATTTATTTAAGCGTGCCAACGGTGTGGTGGTGAAATCATTCCACTGCTGGCTAAGCGGTGAATGGTTTGAACCCAACACTCGGCCTGAGTGAGGAGGTGGGGTGTTTTATCATCCCCACATTTGCATGCCTGACAGCTTTACCTATCATCTATCTCAATGAAAAAGAAACCCAGTATGAACTCTCAACATCCAACGTTAAGAGTGCCAATCAAACAAAAAGCAAATTTAAAAAATTAACAAGAGCTCTCTTTCCACCTCTTTACAGATACGACTCCATCTTGCTACGTTTTTGGCTACTTCTCAGAAATATGTCTTTGCATTCTCATTTTTTTTTAAAAAAAAAGGGAACTAAAAAGGTATTGTGTTGGAATTAAGCAAAGACCAATGTTGTTTTCAAATGATCTTCAGGCCCAAAGGAATGGTCACTTTGAAAGATCTCGGGATTGAGAGTTGGTGGGGCACGATGAGATGTGGTCGGACTCGAGGGCGGTGGTGGGTGGGCCTCTTTAGGTCAGCGGTTGGGTGGCCCGCTGGACGGTCCCGTTAGTTGTCCACTCTTCTGATTTCCCCAGGGGAGTCCGCCCTGAATACTGTGGGTGTGTGATGAGGGCCTCCCCGGGAACGGCCTGCCCCCCACACGCCCAGGATTACTGGATTCCACCTGCCGGCCTGCCCCCACGCCCCCAGGAGGACCTGTCCCCCCCAAACCCCCGCCTGTGCAGGGAGAGAGGCCACACGAGGTCCGACTGGCGCTTCCTGTTTATTGGTCTGGCTGGAGTCCGACGTGGAGACATGATGGGGGCTGGCAGAAGTGGGGGCGCGAACGCACACACAGGTGGCCGGGCGCACACAGGTGGGCATGGAGGAGTCATGATTCTGTAAATAAATACTGGACACACGGTGCCGTGCGCCCTCTGGACTGGGGTCCCCGGGCACCGTCCACTACTGGATGTGTGGACGGTGCGGGTGGGCGGGGGGTCCGAGGGGGTCAAGCCCCGGGCCCGGTGGTCCTGACAGATGGGGGAGTCCTGGAGGACAGTGGTCCACATGGAAGGGGGGGTGGTCCACACGAAGGGGTGGCTGGTGGTCCACACGGAGGAGGGGCAGCGGTCAGCAGCAGCCCTAAATGACCTTCTTGAGCTCGTCGTAGATGACCAGCACGAAGGCCCCGCCCATGCCCCGCAGCACGTTGGACCAGGCGCCCTTGAAGAAGGCCTTGCCGCCCTCATCCTTCAAGATCTTACGCCAGCAGTCGATCGTCCCCGTGTACATGATGTCCGCT